AGCAAGTAACGGATTTCACAATGTGTCAAATCCAATACTTACTGTCCAGTTGTACAATAAATTAATATATGTTAATATTATATTAAGTATCAAGTGGAATAAAGTACTTTAGTCACGATTTTAGCCATCCGTATTTAAAGTTCAACTTTTTGTGTCGCAAAACCGTAAAAAATTATTTAAATAATTTATTTAGATGTTTCTAGTATTTTAAAACAAAAAATGAAAGGAGTTGTCTAATTATATTTTCAACCTAATTAAAGTTGTAAGTTTATACCAATTAGTAACCCCACGAAGAAAATTACATTACAGCAAGCAAAGTAAGTGAAGAAAACCGCACGGTCAAGGTTGGCATTTCGTTTGAGTTAATTAACAAAACTAAAAGCGTCGAATTCACGTCAAACTTTGCATGCTCTCCGGAGCGCGTCGACTTTTACACTAATTAGGAACTTTAATAAATATCTAGTCATCACATTTCTGGCAAATAAAGTTACTGAGGCCAAGGTTCAAAATTTTACTCTCTGGACAAATAAAACTTAGAAATTTTATTTCTGTTTTTTAATTCTCTTAACCTGTGTCACAGATAAATATTGTGATCTTGTTCCTGGTCGTAGAAAATCTAGTCTACGATGTTCCTGAGCTTACGAGACGTCTGGGACGCCTGTTATAATTATGTTATTATTCAAGTGTTATTGCAACACTTTGCGAAACTTTGCGCGCTGGAACGTGCGCGGCGGTAAATTCGCGCGGATCGTAATAGTAATTCGCAAAACTCATCATGCGACTCGGTAATTCAACGAAACTCGAAGCGCGCGAGCCCGCGAACGTTACGACCGCGCTTAATATCAACGATCTGGTAGTTTGCCACTTGTTCGTGCATAATCGTTTGTAATATGTTTTGAGCAAAATCTGCCAACCAACCAAACGAAAAAAATGTTATTTACCAAAATACAAAACAATCCTTCACATCAAAATTTGAAATTAATAAAAAATTGAACAAATTACTTTATCAACTTTAGTAAAACTGGGTCAAAGAATATAAAAGCATATTAAAAGTATATAAAAGCCTACAAATTGCTTTCAACCTTTGACTCTGCCATGAACAATGAGACGAGGTGAAACTTGCGTAAACTTTCGATATAAATTATTTCATAATAAAACGTCGACGATTAGAATTTTAATGAAATCAACTCGAGGGCAAGCCAGACAAGGTAATAACCGCGGCGCGGCGACATTAAAGCGGCTTGTAATTGCCGGCAGCGCATCCAGGTCTCCTCTTTACCGCGTTTAGAAACGTCGATTCGTTTCATTATGTCCCTGCGCAGCTGTAAAATCAAAGTAGCAGCAAGCAGCATTGAGAGCTCATCAATAAACTAAGCGCACGCGTTTTGAGCATAGTTTTAAGTTTTAACTGCTTTGACAAAAGCGGTAATAACTAAAGTTTCATCATTTTCGCATTGACTATTAATCAAAAATTGCTGGAAATTACTTAAATTATGTGATAGGCATTTATGAAAGTGGTAGGATATATTAAGTTGGTAAAACTTAATTTTACCCAACGTTAAACATTTATTTGAGTTGGAAAATCGAGTGTTTTATAAAATAATAAATATAATAATTTTTATCGACGATTTTCGATAATTAATATCTCTTAAACTAAAAAAGATAGCAACCAACGAATTGCTGATTATGAAAAATTGGAAAATTCTCTATGAGATAAAAATATAAAATAACTATATTTCTTACAGTAACGGGTTGAAAAACGCGACTAAAAGTGCTAAAAAGTGACATTTTTCAATTTTTGCTCATTTTCTTCAATCACGAATATCTCGTAAACTAAAAGAGATAATTAAGATCTGATCGCGGCGTTTTAATCTACGGACTATTCTCTATCAGATAGGATAGTTAAAACGGAAATCCGAGAGATGAAATTTTCATTCTTAAGAAAAAAATTGCCAAGGGGGGGTGCTTGATACTTTTTTTCGACGATTTTCAAAAATTAATATCTCTTAAACTAAAAGCGATAGCAACCCACCAATTGCTGATTATGAAAGATTGGAAAATTCTCTATCTGATACAAATATAAAATGACTATATTTCTTACAGTAACATCTCGAAAAATGCGACTAAAAGTGCAAAAAAGTGACATTTTTCAATTTTTGCACCTTTTTTTCAATCGCGAATATCTCGTAAACTAAAAGAGATAATTAAGATCTGATCGCGGCGTTTTAATCTACGGACTATTCTCTATCAGATAGGATAGTTAAAACGGAAATCCGAGAGATGAAATTTTCATTCTTAAGAAAAAAATTGCCAAGGGGGGGTGCTTGATACTTTTTTTCGACGATTTTCAAAAATTAATATCTCTTAAACTAAAAGCGACAGGAACCCACCAATTGCTGATTATGAAAGATTGGAAAATTCTCTATCTGATAGAAATATAAAATGACTATATTTCTTACAGTAACATGTCGAAAAATGCGACTAAAAGTGCTAAAAAGTGACATTTTTCAATTTTTGCTCATTTTCTTCAATCGCGAATATCTCGTAAACTAAAAGAGATAATTAAGATCTGATCGCGGCGTTTTAATCTACGGACTATTCTCTATCAGATAGGATAGTTAAAACGGAAATCCGAGATGCAGCCCCCGCCCGCCGGCTCTCTGGTCACCACCCAAACCGCCACGCGTTAAAACCTCCACCGGATGGCTAAAATATATGCAAAATGACTATATTTGCTACAACATGTCGAAAAAATGCGACTAAAAAATGCTAAAAGTGACATTTTTCAATTTTGCTCATTTTCCAACGCGAATAAATATCCTTCGTAAAACTAAAATATAATTTAAGATCTGATCGCGGCGTTTTACCCATGCGGATTATTCTCTACCAGATAAAGCAGTGAAAACGAAATCTACAGCTGAAATTTTCATTCTAAGAAAAATTGCCAAGGGGGTGCTTGATACTTTTTTCGACGATTTCAAAAAATTAAATATCTCTTAAACTAAAAGCGATAGCAAACTCACCAATTGCTGATTATGGTATTTGAAAATTTCTATCTTTATGCTGTGATATAAAATGACTATTTACAGTAATATGTCGAAAAATGCGAATTGCGCTAAAAAGTGACATTTTTTCTCAATTTTTTGCTCATTTTCAATCAAGTAGAACACCAAAACTGAAAGAGATATTTAAGATCTGATCGCGGTGCCTTCACCTTACGGACTATTCTATCAGATAGGATAGTTAAAACGGAAATCCGAGAGATGAAATTTATTCTTAAGAAAAATTGCTAAGGTGTTTACGTTTTTTTCGACGATTTTCAAAATTAATATCTCTTAAACTAAGCGATACAGGAACCCACCAATTGCTGATTATGAAAGATTGGAAAATTCTCTATCTGATAAATATAAAATGACTATTTACAGTAAATATGTCGAAAAATGCGACTAAAAGCGCGGCAAAAGTGACATTTTTCAATGTCGCTCATTTTCTAAATCGCGAATACCCTGCAAACTAAAAAGAGGAGAAAGGAACGAATCGCAAAGCTCCAATATATACCTCAAATGAAAATGTTTAATGCAAAATATTTAAAATATATTTTTGTTTGCTAAGATATCAAGAATACATTAAAAATAAGCAATCTGAAAATCAAATCTGCACAAGACGAAAATCGAGGTGCCTCTCTCTATATCACAATGCCTGGCACTAAAAAATGGTCCCAAAGCCTAAAAAGGGATTACGTACAAAATTGCTGAATCAGGTCATCTCCTAAGAAAGCAGCCTCCCTCATAATTGGCCCTTTGGTACCTAATATGACTACCCAAACCTAGATTCCTCAAAATGAAAATGTACTACTACTTGTAAAGACATCCGGCGTTTTAAAATGCCGGTGGACTATCCTGACCAAGGATCTAAAACCTGTGTGTGTGTGTGTGTGTGTGTGTGTGTGTTCTTCTGGCTGCCTCATACAGCAAAAGTTCGCGCATGCGCCGTGTCAGAGGCACTCCAAGACTACCTCCGTCCAGGCCTTTCACTACACCCTACCTCTTTATATCCGGCTCCTAGAAACTGGGATCCTACGACTAGTTTCTCAGGAGGAAGCGTCGATTATTTTATCCAAACTTGGGTCCAACCACTGGTAGGTTGCTTGTAGTGGACTCACCATCATATGCCCTATTGGAATGGAATTGGAATGTCTTTGATGGTCTACAGTGTTTAACGAACACTTTAAAAGCCGGAGGCGGATTATTATGACACGATACTGATTCGGATTTCATTACTATACGCGGCACGCACTCGTTTTGTCGGAAATACGGAAAAAAATTAAAACTTGACTAAATCGCACTATTGTCCTTCGATTCACCTTGACTGCAAGTCAGGAGACTTGGCCGCGAATTGATAACAGTTTAAGAGAACCGCGACGCGACCCGCACTCGATGAGTATTTCGTTACACCTCTCCAGGTCTACCGATATTAGTGTAAAATCTGCACTACCTGCAAAGTAAATAAATATTAGAGAGAAATGAGGGGGTCAGGATTAGGAGATCTATTAATTTGAATGGAACTTTTTTTGTTGCGATAATTTTTGAAAATGAAACTAAAATGTATCTTTGAATATAGGAATCCAATACAAACTAATGTAGTAAAAGTAATTTCAAAAGAATAATGAGTATATGATATTAAAGGTATGAGGAGAATAATGCTCCAGAGAAAAAAGGTCCTGAAAACAAATATTAATTAATACATAACCGGTAATCGAACGCGCCCGAATTACAAACATTTTCAACCAAAATCGAATATAAACCTGAAATACAAGCAGAAAGAACAATCAATACATATTAAAAACATTTGTGGTTTCTGAAAATAATAATAAAATAATAATTTGCGTTGGTATTACCTTCTGCCTGTTTTAACGCGCACTTCACTTCACTTCACTTCACTTTATTTTAAATAATTATTTGAATTGCAATAAAGTAGGGATATACCAAAAAAAAAAATACCTTACGTGTACTAAAGAATTTCCTGTACATTAAGAATCTTCAATCCTTTCCTTTCTACCATTTTTAGTTTGTGAGATACCCGCAGTTGAAATATTGATCGAAAATGCTTTTTTTTTTTAAATCTACAAATACACAGTATTAATATACGAATAAAGTTAAAGTGTTAAAAATATTTATATATTGCAAAGTTTTAGTTAGCGTGTCACTTTATATAAAAATCTTAAAATATTTACATTAATAAAATACATCGCGCCTAGTTCTTTTACTTATTGTATTATATTGCAACGAAGTCAAGATAGAAGAATGTGAAAAGTAAACAAACAACTGATAGCACGCGCCGATCGCGCTCACCTTGTCAATGTAACAGAGGTCAGTGTAGCCGAATTACATACGAATACAATGTATTTTAATACATGCGAAATATTTCAATATTTGTTAAAAATAGTTAAAAATAAATTTATAAGTCCGAAAGTATTAATTATGTGGAATTATACCTGTTACTGCAATTAGTACTGAGTTGCACTTGATCACTATAATATTCTGAAAATTACTTTTATTTTCAGTGATTTTATCGTTGAGCTGTACGCGACACTCGAAGTGGTAACCGACTGAGAGTCGCGTCACTGCGCGAAGCGTAATGCGCATCTCTGCCAGCGCAGTGCAAACGTTAAAATCAAAACATTCGCGTCTTGTTTTGTTTTCATACATTCGCACCGATTGAAAGACAGCCAATAACAAAAAAGACCGCATTACTGATAAGACGCCGAGTCTCACGCAGAAATGCAGTGTATTCACACAAAGATTACATCTATTCGCGTTAGTAAACAACCAGGCCATAACATACACAACGTTATGCATGCCATGTTTGGTTCCGAAATATGTATTTTTTTATTACGAACCACGAATTTGCGATTTATGAAGTATAAATTATGAGAGGTCTTACTTATTCCTACGATCGATATTGAGTTGCACTTGATACCACTAATTTGCTATGAATTTGTTTAATTTTCGGCATTTTTTGGTGCAGAGACGCCTGTCGCACTGATCGCTGCAGAACTGAAAGACTAAATGACCGTTGAACGCTCGCTGCGCTCGAATGCAAGGTCGCAAAAACCTGCGCACACGATGCGCAGACGAATTGTTTTAAAAGATTCAAAATTTTGAATTCCTGATACTATTTTCGTCTGATTCTCTCGCAGTGCAGTGTTCTGAAGGTTTCACTTCACCCCGTGACTAAAATCCGTGATCAAAGTACTTTACTCACGGTCCACGGTCGGCCAGTGTTTAAAATATCACTTTATGTGCCTTAAAACCGTGAAAAACTGACATTTTAAAGCTGAAAATAAAAAAAATTGTTTTATATGATAAAAAGATGATTTTGATATTTTATTTGTAAACTAAGTTTTATAGAGCTTTACATGATTTATCTAAACCTGGCTAACCAAAAGATTTATTGCTCCTTAGATGTTTTTTTGCAGGTTTTGTAGTAAGTATCCCCCGTGTTGGTAGTTTTTGTGATGCAAATTGAGATAAAAAACGATGAAAGTAACCCATAAAAAAGCACTGCACGCCGACACGGAGTCGAAACGCGAGGCAATCGGCGGGCACCTGCAATGAATAGCCAAGGGTTGGTTTTTGTCACCACCAAACTCAATCATCTGTCATACAGTTATTTCAGGGTTGTTATAAATGATTCTAGCGTATTAATGGTTTTCATCAAATATTATTAAAAATAAAAGAAAAATAAAAAGTAAAAAATTAAATAAATTAAAGTTTAAAGTCCCAAACATATTTTTGTTAGCAATTGTAAGAAAAGCCCATCAGATATGACATTTTAAAGCATTGTACAATAAAATTCCAAGCTCCAACATAGAGAGGACAATAACGTTTGTGTTTTAAGCTAGAATTTAGCCCTTTGCCTTTAAAGTTACACCTAGGTGTTGGTGTTGTGGGTATTGGGCATTTTGAGCGTTTGTGTAAAGATGGAATTGTAGTTTAAGAGGTTTGCCGAAGGTCTCTCCCATGTGTGCGGGCTAAAAATATCGCGCATATCGATAGGTGTACACGTGCGGAGGCGCCGGTGCTCGCACCACTCTCGGATTGCCTATTTACTTCCAATACGTGCGCGGATTTTGGAACTACCACAATAAAATCCAAGGTCCTTGCGAGCGCGCCAGCCGCCGCCCCTAATGCGAACAAAGTCGAGTGCTCGCTTCTTTTATTATTTTACCATCGCGCCCACGGCACGTCACTATCTATAAAGTGTTAAACGAAGTGTTACCAGCAAAACAAGGTCGAAGTTTAGTACCGGAGAGTAAAAAAATATAGAATGCAATCTTAAAATAACATTTGTGCCCACAATTTAGAAATAATTTCATAAAATCTAAGTTTTTTGTTGTTAGAAAATATTAAAATTAGCAATTTTAAGCAAATTTTGCCTAAAAAAATCAAATTTTGACGGATTTTGTTAATTTTTTAATGAAAAAAACAATAAAACATACTTTTATTGATGCTATAAATTATAAAAGTTGCTAAAATATTTAAATTATGAATTTAAACATATAGAATAATAATAAATATATTTTATTAAGTTTTGTTTAATTTTCTTGAAGCCTTAAAAAAACTAAGATTAAATTTCTTGGCGGTTTAATTTATGCTGTTGACATTCCTCATTTATTAACTTCTGTTTGCGTCGTTTATTTTCTTCCGAATGTTTTTCCCGGCACCGCGAGCCGCTCTTCGGTTGCCGCGTTTTTCTTTACTTTCCGCAGCAGCTTAGGTCCTTGATACGTATCGATTTTCGCGACTTTGCGCAGCTCGCGGCGAAGAAGCGCCCAAGCGCGTGTGTCAATCGAATAAACCTACGTATTTTCTTTTGCAATAAGTAAATACGAATGTTCAGCAATAATAAATTTTACTTCCGCGCAAAATAAAACAAGCGCACATAAACCCGACCACCGCCAGCAGGAATGGCGCAAAAAAGCGCGTGTAGCGACAAACATTGCGCGAACAAATAGTATCAGGGTGTAATCAAACTCAAAGCAAAACAGTGCCACCAAAACAAATCAAATATTTCTTCTTCTTAAAGATTTAATACAAAAATAATCAAAAAAACTAAAAACTAAAATAAATATTTTAATTTTATTTGTATCTCAATATAATAAAGGAAAATAAAATAAAAATTTATTTAATTTGTTTTGATTTCAATGTTTGAGTACCTCTGGTTTTAGAATAGCAGCAAACTGTAAAACACTATGACACTATAAAGCAGCAGGAAATGTTGATCATCGCGCACTTCACACATCGCGTGCACATAAAATCATCCGACGCGTTGCGGCCGTAACAAAACCTGCAGCCTGCACGCCTGGCCCCGGACCAACACTACTACCTGCATGCCTTGCAGTGGAATCGTTATCATCTTTATTTACGAGCAACAAAATCCGAACGTAAATACACACAAAATACACACCGGTTTATTTTGGTCATTCAAAACTAAAACAATAAACTTTGCCATTGCAAAATCAAATTTTTACGATGTTATAACAACAAATTACAGATTATATCATTTATATAATAAGAAAAATTGATATTTTGCTTTTATTTTTAATAAAAAAATTATTTTTCCATTTTTAATTTTAATTTTAATTTTAATTTTAATTTTAAAAATAATTCTACTAGTTTTTCAACTTTTTATATTTTTACTATCACATTGTAAACGTTTACTTAATAAACCTAAGTAGATACAAGAAGCTTTCTGGTACGCTCATAGATTGGCGAGTCTAGACTAAAGCAATTTGGCGCAATGAAAAAGCAGCGCACTGTGGATGAACTGAATGGTCGCTAAGTGCGGCCAATCAAATCAGAAGAACCCGCAAGAGTCTGGAGAAGGTTATCCCGTAGATTCCGGCAACGAAGCAACGAAATCATCGTTGTCGCCGTGCGCATTCTATCGCAGTGCAAAATAAAAAGCTGCGAGTTCAACCGAGAGAAAGAAGCAACATCTTTGGATCGACGCCGCACGCGACGTGAAAGCATGAAAGGAATTTCGCGCACACAGACGCATACTAATTCGATTGACTTTTGATAAAACTAATTTACTGGATGCTTTAATAATATCTGTACTTAAATATCAAAGTATAAGCAAAAAAAATTCAATTTTATTTCCACCCTGGCGCAATTTTAATTTGTTTAGCTTTTAAATTTGTTATAAAAGCTTTTTTAGATTTAATTATTTTTTATACATTTACCTTTAAAATGCCAGTTTTAGTCACGGTTTTGGGTACTTTAGTCACGGGTTTAGCCACCCGTGAGTAAAGTATCACTTTTTGTGTCTTAAAACAGTAGAAAAACTTGCGTTTTAAAAAAAAATAAATTATTTTGTTAATTTTCTTCATTTATCGTAAATATTTCAGCAAATAAAACAAATTTTGCATTTTGTAATAAACTTGACTCTTTATTATTAAAATGTTTATTTTATTTTTATTTCAGGACGTATCGTTAAGTACGCTACGTGTTGCATGTTCATTTTGATCCTGATTTGGGCATGACGTGCATAAAACTGTCTTAAACCGGCCCGCGCAAAATTACCAGCGGAAATGAGGTGTTGAGGGCCATTTACATGGCGACCCAGCTTTACTGCGTCTCGCATTTTTAGTCCTTGCGTTGCTTTTTTCACTCGCTCGCAGTACTTTACATACCTGTCCTCCAGCGTTCCAACGCCCGCTTTCCGCCACTCTATTACAAATTCTCATTTTTAATTAGCATGCTCGACGCTGTCGTAAGTCCTCGCAAACTGTGCGAAATGTTATAGCAAAATGTTACCGTTTGCAGTGCGCTGCAAAAAAAGAAAACAAGAGGGAAGAGAAAAAAACGTGGCGCGCGTTGTAAGAAGCGAGAAATCATAAACTCTCGGCGTAATAGAGAGCGCGATGCGGACGTGCGCGGACTTTTTTTAATTAAAAAAATTACGAGGAATGCAAGAAAATGTGTCGAGAAGTGTCGACACGGACGTGTTCCTCAGCCCGCAATTTAGCATACCTTCCAGGACAAGAGGTGAAATGATTTTTATGCTTGGTGATTAAAAATTTAATTAATGAGTAAAATCGTGTTCTGGAAATTATTACTACAATTATTATGTATTGCCACCTGCACCAGAAACCTTTTAAAACATTTTGTATCAAAAGATAAATGATAAAAATGTCATAATTTAATATTTTTTAGTTAAACCTTTAGTTTTAGTAATTAAATAGATTTTTATGTTAAAATAACAAAAAATATTGATAAATTTTTGTTTAAAAATAAAATTTGAAGCCCAATATAAATAAAAACAGATAAATTGTCGTGTATAAAAGATATTGCGAAAGTGATGGCATTTGTCTCGGTTTCAGATGCGAACAAATCTGTGCGCTGCATGCTGCGGCAATATATATTTTCATAAAACTATTTGCAAGCAAAACACACGCCATTATGAATTGTCTAGACGCGCCAACCGAAGCAAATATGCGCGCACGGGCCAAAACCGTGTTTACCAAAGGGATTTGCCACTTTTCTAGAAAGGTATTACTAATATCTACATATTTATAAGGACTAAAAATAACTCC